CTCTCTCTCTCTCTCTCTCTCTCTCTCCTCCTCTTTCTCTTTTTCTTCTTTCTCTTTTCTCTTCTCCTTTCTCTCTCTTCTCTTTCTCTCTCTCTCTCTTCTCTTTCTTCTCTTTCTCTCCTCTTCTCTCTCTTTCTCTCTCTCTTCTCTCTCTCTCTCTCTCATCTTCCTCCTCTCAATTCATCCACCTTCCTTCCCACTCACCCCTCCTTTCCATTCCCCTCTCTCAACCTATTCTCTTATTCTCCTATCTCCCTCCACCATCCATTCTCGCTTCCTCTTGTCTCTCTCTCTCTCTCTCTCTCCCTTCCTCTCCTCCCTCCATTCTATTTCCTCGTCCCCTCCCTCTTTCCTCCATATTACCTTACTTCTCCCCTCTCTTCGATGGTTCCGCTCGGTCCCCTCTCTCTCCTGTTCCCCTCGGCCCCTCTTGGCTCCCTCTCGGTCTGCCTGCTTGCCCGTCTGTCTGTCTGTCTGTCTGTCTGTCTGTCTGTCTGTCTGTCTGTCTGTCTGTCTGTCTGTGTGTCTGTCTGTCCTGTCTTGCGTCTGTCCTGTTCTGTCTGTCTGTGTCTGCCTGCCTTGTCTCTCTCTATCTGTCCATTCACACACACACACACACACACACACACACACACACACACACACACACACACACACACACACACACACACACCACACACACACACACACACACAACACACCACACACACACACACACACACACACACACACACACACACAACACACACCACACACACACACACACACACACACACAAACGGAAACCCCCCTGTTCCACTGTCGAATTGTCATGCATTTTATCGCGACAGAGAAAAAAAAAATGCAACTTGCTGTATTCTTACGCATGTAAAATCACACATACATGCATCGGTCATACACGGAGCGACTGATGCGTTTTTTTTTTTTTAATTTTTTTTTTTTTATTGTATTTTCTCTTTATCCTATTTCTTCTCTAATTTCCGATGCGTTCTCGTGGTATTTTTTTTTTTTATTTTTTTTCCTCTTTATCGTATTTTCTCTCTATCATATTTCTTCTCTAATTTCCTTCGCTGATCTTTATCTCTTCGCGTTATTTTAATACACTTTTTTCTTCTTTTTTTTTTTTTTCTTTATCTTTTTTGTGTTATTCTTGATGTTTTTTTACTTTTATTTCTTTCATTTCTCTTAATCTTCTTTTTTCTCTTTATTTCTTGAATTTCTGTTTGTCTTTTCGCTTTATTTGAATATATTAATTTTCTCTTTCTTTCCCTCATTTCTCTTTATCTTTCCAATTTAATAATTTTACTCTTGATTTTTTTCAACCGTTTCTCTCTCTTTTTCTTTTCTTCTTTATTTGTTTAATTTATATTTTCAACGAATTAATATAATTTTACGAGAGAGAGAGAGAAGGAGAGAGGAGAGAGAGAGAGAGAGAGAGAGAGGAGAAGAGAGAGAGAGAGAGAGAGAGAGAGAGAGAGAGAGAGAGAGAGAGAGAGCAGAGAGAGACCAGAGAGAGAGAGAGAGAGCAGAGAAGAGATAAGAGAAAGAGAAAGAGAAAGAGGTCTCGGAAGCGAAGTCAAAAGCCCTCCCCCTACCCCCTTACCCCACCCCACCCCCCTCACGCGTTCGAGCTCCTCCCCCCCCCTCCCCCCACCCCCACCCCACCCCCCCTCACGCGTTCGGGACCCGCGTCGGACCTTAAATAAAACAGAGCCGACCTACAGGAACTCTTTCTGGCTCCCGACGAACAGTTCGAAATGTCGGCGACTCAAGTTTTGAGAATGTTTTGTAATGATATAGTGCACTTGGCAGCCTCTTCACTTATGGATGGGCGCTGATCCCGTCTCCCTCTCGCTCTCTCGCGCCGTCTCTCTCTTGATCTCTTTCTCTTTATGTCTCTCTCTTGCTTGATCTCTTTCTCTCGATTTCTCTCTTTCTTGATCTCTTTCTCTTTATGTCTCTCTCTTCCTTGATCTCTTTCTCTCGATTTCTCTCTCTCTTAATCTCTTTCTCTTTATGTCTCTCTCTTGCTTGATCTCTTTCTCTCGATTTCTCTCTTTCTTGATCTTTCTCTCGATTTCTCTCTTTCTTGATCTATCTCTCGATTTCTCTCTCTCTAAATCTCTTTCTCTCGATTTCTCTCTTCCTTGATCTCTTCTTTATTTCTCACTTTCTTACTGCCTTTCTCTTTATTTCTCTTTCTTACTGCCTTTCTCTTTATTTCTCTCTTTCTTACTGCCTTTCTCTTTACTTCTGTCTTTCCTCCTGCGTTTCTCTTTATTTCTCTCTTTCTTACTGTCTATCTCTTTATTTCTCTCTTTCTTACTCTCTATTTTTTCTTAATGTCTTTTCTTTATTTCTATCTTTCTTACTTCCCTCTCTTTATTTCTCTTTTTTCTTACTCTCTTTCTGTTTTCCTTTCTTTCACTCCCTTGTTCACTCTTATTCTTATAAGAAAAGCGAGAAAAAGAGAAGAGAAACAGCGATAGAGAGCTTGAGAGAAAGAGAGAAAGAGAGAGAAGAAAGAAAGAAAACGAAAGAAAAACCGAAAAAAAACACGAGAAAACAAGAGAACAAAAAAAACGAAGAAAAACAAAAGAAAAGAAGAAATAGACGAGAAGAGAGAAAGAAAATAGAAAGATAATTAGACAGAACCGAAAACAGCGTCAGATTGAAAATAACATATCCGACAGAAATAAATAAAAGACCGTTAGTGGGCAACGCTCCTCGTCCAGAATCGCCCAACGACATTTCGAGAGAAAGGTTATTAACTTAACGACGGAATTCAGCGACAAACAGAACTCAGCAAGAAACAGAATTCAAGAACAAAAATCAGGAACAACAGAATCCACCAAGAACAGAATTGAACAAGAACAAAAATCAGGAACAACAGAATCCACCAAGAACAGAATACAACAAGAACAAAAATTCAGCGACAACAGAACTCAGCAACAGAATTCACAAAGAACAAAAATCAGGAGAACAGAATCCAAACAAAAACAGAATCAAGAACAAAATTTCAGAACGACGGAATTCAGCGACAACAGAACTCAGCAAGAACAGAATACAACAAGAACAAAATCAGGAACAATGGAATTCAGCGACAACAGAATCCACCAAGAACAGAATTCACAAAGAACAAAAATCAGGAACAACGGAATCAGCGACAACAGAATTCACCAAGACAGAATTGAACAAGAACAAAATCAGGAACAATGGAATTCAGCGACAACAGAACTCAGCAAGAAACAGAATTCAGAAACAACAGAACTCAGGAAAAACGGAATTCAGCGACACACCAGAATCCCCACCAAAGAGCAGAACAGAAACAGAAATGAGGAACAATGGAATTCGCAGGAACAAGAAAATCAGGAAGAACACCAAGAATTCCACCAAGAACAGAATTCACCAAGAACAGAATCAGGAACAACGGAATTCAAACAACAACAGAATTCGCCCAAAACAGAATTGAACAAGAACAAGAATCAGGAACAACAGAATCCACCAAGAACAGAATTCGCCAATAACAGAATTCACCAAGAACAGAAATCAGGAACAACGGAATTCAGCGACAACAGAATCCACCAAAACAGAATTCACCAATAACAGAACTCAGGAACAACGGAATTCCAACAACAACAGAATTCGCCCAAAACAGAATTGAACCAAAGAACAGAAATTCAGGAACAACGGAATTCAAACACAACAGAATTCAAAAAACAGAATTCACCAAGAACAGAAATCAGGAAAACAACGGAATTCAACAACAACAGAATACAAAACAAGAAATTCAGCAACAACAAAAATTCAGAACACTAGAATTTAGCAACAAAAATTCAGACACAACCAATTTCAGCAAAAACAAAAATTCGGAGACGACAGAATTCAGAAGAAAAAAAAATACGACAAAATTCATCAAAAAAAAAAAAAAAAAAAAAAAACGACAGAATTTCATCAAAAAAAATAAAACATAAAAAATAATAATAATAATAATAATAATAATAATAATAATAATAATAATAATAATAATAATAATAATAAATAATAATAATAATAAATAAAAACGACAGAATTCAGCAAAAACAGAATTCAGCAAAAACAGAAATCAGCATCAAAATTCAGAAACAACCAGAACAAAAATAACTTTGATCGTTCATATCACTCTTCTTGTACCATATCAATGTTATCCACTGCATCAGCATTGGTATAATTCGTAAAATAATTATCTTTATTACTTCTCTCTCATCTTTATCACTATTATTACCATTATGAATATCATCCTGTTTATTATCTTTATCGTCATTTTTACCACCACACCAAATCGGATTTTAAAGCAAGGACATAAAAACGTGAAAAAAAAATTGAAAAAAAGAAAAAGAAAGAGAGAGAGAAGAGAGATATAGATAAATTCATACATTCAAAAAACACAACAACACAACACACCACACACACCACACACACACACACACACACACACACACTCACACACACACACACACACACACACACACACACACATATATATATATTTATATATGTATATGTATATGTATATATATATATTATATATATATATATATATATATATATATATATATATATATATATATATATATATATATATATATATATATATATATATCGAGAGAGAGAAAGAGTAATTTATCACTTGCTGTATCCCGCGCTGTTACCAAGTGGTACTAGTAATCAGTACCTTTCCCCCTTCCCCTTCCCCTCTCCCCTCACCTGATCCCCCTCCATGTCAAACCCCTCGCCCCCCCTTTGCACCTTCTTCGTACCCCTATTCTAGTCTGTCTATATACGACCCCTCTACTCATATCCCCTTCTTCCTCCCCTGCCACTCTCTCCTTTTCCTCTCCCTCCCCCTCCTCCCTCCTCCCTTCTCTCTCTCGCCCCTCTCCCTCTCCCCTTCCCCTCCTCCCCCCTTCCTTCCCTCCCTCTCTCTCCTCTCTTCTCCCCTCCTCCTTTCCTCCAACCCTTCCCTCCTTTCCCTTCTCCCCTCCCCTCCCTACCCTTCTCCTTTCCTCCCTTCTTTACCTTCCCTTCCCCTACCCTTTCCCTTTCCCCTCCACAACTTCTCCCCTCCTTTCCCCTCCCCCCCTCCCCTCCCCACCTGGTGATGAACTCCACACCGCGACGACGCTAGCGGACCGAAACCTCAAAACATAATGAATCTTCACACGTCAATATCTCCTCCCCCTCCCCTCTCTCTCCTCTCCCTCTCCTCCCCCCTCTCTCTCTCCTTCTTCCCTCTTCCCCTCCCCCCTCTCTATCCTTCTCTCTCTCTCCCCCCCTTCTTTCCTCACTCTCTTCCTCCTCCTCCTTTCTTCCTTTTTTGTGCTGTCTCCCTCGTAAGTTTTTTTTCTTCTTCGTCCTCCATCTCCTCCTTCCTTTACCCCTTTCCTTATTTCTTTCTTACTTTCTTCTCTTTTCTTTTTCCCCCTTTTCTCTTTTCTTTCTTTCTTTTATTCTTTCTTTGGCTTTTCGTTTTCTTTTTCATTTTTGTGATTATTTGTTTTCTATTCGAATGTGTCTTTTTCTTCGCTTTCTTCGCCTATCACATTTTATCTTGCTTTCCCCATTTTCCTCCTTTCAATCGTTATCTTATCCATTTTTTTCTCTTATTCTCCGTTTACTCCTACTTTCACGTTCTTCCCTTGACCGTATTGCGCTCTCCATGAGTTTCTCCTCCGGTTCTTTTCTCTCTCTCTATCTCCTTCTTCGATATTTTTCTTTCTCCATTCCTTTTCATTCCCTACTTCCTCCACTTTTTTCTCTCGCTTCCTTTTCTGTCCTTCTTTCGTTTTTTTTTTCTTGTCTGTCCTTCTTTGTTTTTTTCTTTCTCTTCACCTCCAACATTTTCTTATTTCCATCTCTCTTTTTTTCCATCCATCTCTTTCGTCTTATTCCTATCATTTCCTCTTATCGTATTTTTACTTCTCTCTCTACTTCCTCTTAAATATTCTCTCACTCTCTATCTCCTAATTTTTCTTTATTTCCTCTCTCTATCCCTTCCTTTATTACCAATATCCTCTCCTCCTCTCCCTCTTCCCTCTTCTCCTTCTGTATCATCTATCCATGCCCTTATCTCATTACGAAGACGTGGGTAAGAAAAGAAAAAGAATAACAAAAAGAAAAAGAAAAAGGAAAACAGATGAGTCATCATGACCCATTTTTCTCAACTTGTTATTTCCTCTTCGTCTTCAGAAAGACACGTGGATACGTACATACATATACATGCACACGTACGCATACATGTATACATAAAACCACTCACTGTGTACAGAAAGACTATCTATCTATCTTTCTTCTTCTCTTCTCTCTCTCTTCTCTCCTCTCTCTCTCTCTCTCTCTCTCTCTCTCTCTCTCTCTCTCTCTCTCTCTTCTCTCTCTCTCTCTCTCTCTCATCTCTCTCTCTCTCTCTCTGCTCTCTCTCTCTCTCTACTCTCTCCTCTCTCCTCTCTCTCTCTCTCTCTCTCTCTTCTCTCTCTCTCTCTCTCTCTCTCTCTCTCTCTCTCTCTCTCTCTCTCTCTCTCTCTCTCTCTCCCTTACGCGCACACACACACACACAAATGATAAATAAAATAAATAAATAAATAAAATAAACTTAAAGCCTAAAACAAAATTCCGTTTAGCCAACGACCAATGACGAAAGAGGGGAGAGGGGAAGGGAGAATAATGGGGAGAGGAAGGAAAACGAAGAAGACAAAGGAAAAGGAAAGGAAAGGGGAAAGGAGAAAGAGGGAAGGGGAGGGGAAAGGGAGGGCCAGAAGGGAAAGGGAAAGCAAAAAGAGAACAGGGGAAGGGAAGAAAAGAGAAAAGGGGAAGAAAGGCGAAGGGAAGCAAGGGAGAAGGGGAAGGAAGGGGAAAGGGATAGGANGAGACGAAGAGGAGGGAAGAGAGGGGAGGAGGAGAGAGAGAGAGAGGAAAGAGAGAGAGACGAGAGAGAATTAGTGGAATGTGTCGAGCCGAAGAGAATGATGCGAGATGTGTTTAGGGAGAGTTAGAGAGTAAAAATTCCGTGTAAAAAGAGAAAAATGGAGGAAGAAGGAGGAAAGAAGAGAGAGAGAAAAGCAAGAGAGGAAGAGGAGAGAAATTAATTTTAGTAGATTTAGGTTTAGTTTAATTCCTTTGTTACAATAAGATGATTCTCATCCATTGTGCAAACTGCAATACTGGCCGGGATCTCGATGCTGGAAGAGAAGAGAGACGAGAGAGAGGAGAGATCGAGAGAGAGAGAGAGAGGAGAGAGGAGAAGAGAGGAGACGAAGGGGAGAGATGGAGGAGAGAGAGAGAGAGAGGAGAGAGGAGAGGAGAAGGATGGAGGGAGAGGGAGAGAGGAGAGAGGAGGAGAGAGGGAGGAGGAGGAGAGAGACGATGGAGAGAGAGGAGAGAGAGAGAGAGAGGGAGGAGAGGAGGAGAGAGAGAGAGAGAGAGAGAGAGAGCGCGAGAGCGAGAGCGAGGAGCGAGAGAGAATAGAGAGGAGAGAGAGTTAGGAGAGAGAGGAGAGGAGTGAGAGAGAGAGAGAGAAGAGCCGAGCGGAGAGAGAGGAATAGGAGGAGAGGGAGCGAGAGAGCGATAGGAGAGGAGGCGAGGAGCGAGAGAGCGGCGAGAGAGGAGAGAGAGAGAGAGAGCGGAGATGGCGAGAGAGAGAGACGATAGTGAGGATGAGAGAGAAGAGAAGAGAAGAGAGAGAAGAGAGAGAGAGAGAGAGAGAGAGAGAGAGAGAGAGAGAGAGAGGAGAGAGAGAGAGAGAGAGAGAGAGAGAGAGAAGAGTGAAGAAGTGAGTGAGAGCAAGAAAAAAAGAACGAGAGAGGAGAATTAAAAGAGAAGAAAAGATAAAGAGAGAGAAACAGAGAGAAAAGAAATGCTTGAGAAAATGCGGCGAGAGAACACACGCCATAATCACTGTTGCCCAATTAGTAGGAAAGAAAGGCGAGTGACTTAACCATTGATATGACTTAGGTTATTGGAGAATATTGCTTGTTTATATTATAATATTTATTGCTGAGATTTACATCATAATATGACACCTGTTTATCATTGTTTATAAAAGAAAATGCTATTGGTTATTATTTTTTTCTATGGCCGTATTTGGCACACACTAAACATATGACGCATGCACAAATACACCATTTACACATACACACACACGCACATATATACACATATATACACATATGGATACACACACACACACACACACACGCACGCACGCACACAAATATACAAGACATTTTTTTAGACATTTTCATTAGATTTTTTCATATCTATTTTACATTTCTACATAATAATGTTGCTACTCCTATGAGGTCCCACGTGATCACAGAATTTCTGAGGATAAGGATTTAGGAAGGTGAAGTAAGGGTAAGGATGAGGTGAAGGTAAGAGGTAAAGGATGTAAGGTAAGGGTAAGGTAAGGGATGTAGGGTGAGGTAAGGGTAAGGATGAGGGTGAAGGTAAGGGTAAGGATGAGGGTGAAGGTAAGGGTAAGGATGAGGGTGAAGGTAAGGGTAAGGATGAGGTGAAGTAAGGGTAAGGATGAGGGTGAAGGTAAGGTAGGAGGGTGAAGGTAAGGATGAGGGTGAAGTAAGGATGAGGGTGAAGGTTGAGGTGGAAGGTAAGGGTAAGGATGAGAGGTAAGGATGAGGGTGAAGGTAAGGGTAAGGATGAGGGTGAAGGTAAGGGTAAGGATGAGGGTGAAGGTAAGGGTAAGGATGAGGGTGAGGTAAGGGCGAGGTGAAGTAAGGTAAGGGATGAGGGTGAAGGTAAGGGTAAGGGATGAGGGTGAAGGTAAGGAAGGATGAGGGTGAAGGTAAGGGTAAGGGTGAAGGGGTGAGGGTGAAGGTAGGGTAAGGATGAGGGTGAAGGTAAGGGTAAGGATGAGGGTGAAGGTAAGGGTAAGGATGAGGGTGAAGGTAAGGGTAAGGTATGAGGGTGAAGTAGGGTAAGGATGAGGTGAAGGTAAGGTAAGGATGAGGGGGTGAAGGTGAAGGGTAAGGATGAGGGTAAGGTAAGGGTAAGGATGAGGGTGAAGGTAAGGGTAAGGATGAGGGGAAGGTTAAGGGTAAGGATGAGGTGAAGGTGAGGTAAAGGATGAGGGTGAAGGTAGGGTAAGGAGGGTGAAGGTAAGGGTAAGGATGAGGGTGAAGGTAAGGGTAAGGATGAGGGTGAAGGGTAAGGGTAAGGATGGGTGGTAAGGGTGAGGAAGGGTGAAGGTAAGGGTAGGATGAGGGTGAAGGGTAAGGGTAAGGATGAGGGTGAAGGTAAGGGTGAGGATGAGAGTGAAGAAGGATGAGGGTGAAGGTAAGGGTGGGGGTTAGAGTAAAGGTCAGGTGAGGGTGAAGGTAAGGGTGAGGGTGAAAGATGAGGGTGAGGGCGAAGGTAAGGGTAAGGATGAGGGTGAAGGTAAGGGTAAGGGTGAGGGTGAAGGTAATCATGAGGGCGCAGGTAAGCGATCTCGGCGAGCGAAGCGGCTGAGGGTCGGGTGGGCGTCTCGGACCAAAAGGCGCGTCTCATGGCAGACGCTTATGAGGTGCTGAGGGTTCTCGGTTCACTAAGGCTTGCGTTTGCCTGCAGGTGCCTGGGCGTCCTGCATGAACTCAAGTACTGCTCCGCGTCTGAACCAAGTAGTCCTACTGCTCCGCGTCCTGAACCAAGTACTGCTCCGCGTCCTGAACCAAGTACTGCTCCGCGTCCTGAACCAAGTACTGCTCCGCGTCCTGAACCAAGTACTGCTCCGCTCCTGACCTCGTCCTGCTCCGCGTCCTGAACCAAGTACTGCTCCGCGTACTGCTCCGCGTCGTACTGCTCCACGTCGTGTCCCGCGTAGTGAACCACGTACTGCTCCGCGTCGTACTGCTCGTACTGCTTCGTAGTCGTACTGCTCCGAGTCGTACTGCTCCGCGTCGTACTGCTCCGCGTCGTACTGCTCCGCGTCGTACTGCTCCGCGTCGTGCCCCGCGTACCGAACCAAGTAGTGCTCCGCGTCGTGCTCCACGTCCTGCTCCGCGTCGTGCTCCACGTCCTGCTCCGCGTACTGTTCCGCGTCCTGCCCCGCGTCCTCGTCTTGGAGGGGGCCCTCGCTGGCCTCCCGAGTGGCGACGTTGGTCACGAGGCAGGGCATCAGAAGGCAGACGCCCACGAGACGCCGGGCGCCCTGTGCCTCGGCGAGCTCTTGCAGCTCCTTGGCCTCCAGCAGCAAGCCGTGGAAGGCCTTCAGGGTCCTGGGGTACGAGAGCTCGTGTTGCTCGCTCACGAACCTGTTCTTGACGTCGGTTTCCATGACCTTCTGGGGCGCGTCGCCCATGTAGCAGCTGACTTCGTCGCGAGAGAGGACGGGGATCTGGTGGGCGGCGCAGAAGCGGGCCAGGACAGCGCGCTCCTTCGGGATCAGCTTCCTGAGAGAGGTCGAGTCGAGGATGGCGGCGACCTCCGCACACACGCCAGGGGAATATTGGGCGACATTGCGCTTGGGACGCAATTCCCTGGTGGATTTCGGTGTCTCCTTTTTCTCCTTCTTCTCCTGTTCCTTCTTCTCATTCTTCTCCTGTTCCTTCTTCTCATTCTTCACTTTTTCCTTCTCATTCTTTCCTTTTCTCATTCTCCTCCTCCTCCTCCTCCTCCGTGATCTCGGCGTCGGACCCCAGTAGGAAGTGAGGGGGGACGAACCAACTCAACACCAACTCAGCCCAGTCCTTGAGTGTGAGCACCTCCGTGAAGAGCTCCGTCGGATCCATCTCGAGACGATCCTCCGGAGTCGTCCTTGGCAAGATCCTGTTTCAAGATAAGAAATTGATCAGGACCGAAGGAGGTTGTGAATGAGCGCGTGTCATTTTTCAGTGATTGAATTCTTCATTTTTATCACGGGTCCCTGTGCGAGGCTACGCAGGGGAGAGAAGTATACGCTCGTCTATGTGGGCGTTGTGTGTGTATAAATAAACGAATATATATATATATATATACATACACTATATATATATATACATATATGTACATACACAGAGGCACGCACACACATCATCATCATCATCAAGGGGGCTGACGCCAAAGGGGGCGCATAGCCGCATCCACCTACGAGGATCCCTCATGGCTAGACGCCAGGCAGGGACTCGGCCCATCTCTAGTTCTTCACGGCAGGTTTGGTCGATCTGCCAAGCCACGACTTCCTCGGTCGTCCCACAGGCCTCCTCCACCCAGGGTTGTCTCGAACAGAGACGACCTGATGGGCAGGATCATCCTGAGGAAAGTGAGCCAGGTGGCCATATAGCCTGAGTTGGCGATCACGGATTGTGCAGATAACAGGTCCTGTGCCAGTCTCACGGTGCAACCGTTGGTTGGACACATGGTCCCGCCAACAGTACCCCATGATCTGGCGCAAGGGCCTATTACAAAAGGCTTCAAGACGAGCCTCCAAGGCACAGGACAATGTCCAGGTTTCGCTACCGTATAGCAAAACTGGTATTATCAGGGCCTTGAAAACCCGTAGCTTGGTCCTTCTGCACAGGTACCGACATCTCCAAATACTCTTGTTGAGAGAGTTCATGACCCCTGCTGCCAGGCCAATCCGTCTGCTGACTTCATGGTCTGACAGCCCAGAGTTATGAACTACACTACCAAGGTATGTAAAGCTCTCTGTGACTTCAATGTCCTCGCCGCAAGCACATACCAACTGAACAGGTTCTCCTAACAAGTCCCCAAATTCCTGGACCTTGGTCTTGGTCCAGGAGACCTCAAGACCCAAGGGTTTCGCTTCATTGCTAAATGCATCGAGAGCCACCACTTGGGTTTCCAAAGACTCAGATAGAATGGCAACGTCATCAGCAAAGTCAAGGTCTGTAACCTTGATATTGCCCAGTGTTCCTCCACAATGACTTTGAACAGTAGCTCTGCCCAGTATCCACTCCATGCAAGTGTTGAAAAAAGTTGGCGCAAGGACACAGCCTTGCCTCACTCCTGAACTAACAGGAAAGAAGCTCGACAGGCCCCCACCACACTTTACAGCACTTTCAGTACCAGTATACAGGCTTGCTATTACTCCAATAATCCTTGTTGGAATTCCTCTCAGCCTCAGGATCTCCCAAAGTGACTCCCGATGCACCGTATCAAACGCCTTCTTGAGGTCGATGTAGGCTGCAAGCAACCCAGGCCCGAACTCACGACGGTGCTCTACAATGACTCGAAGCGCGAGGATACGGTCTATTGTGGACTTACCAGGAGTGAATCCAGATTGCTCCAGTCTCTGGTGCCTCAGTAGATGGTCTCTCATACGTCTCAGACGTATGGGCGAGAACCTTGCCTGGTATACTGAGCAGTCTGATGCCTCGGTGATTGCTGCAGTCCCAACGGTCCCCCTTCCCCTTCCAGAGAGGGATGACCACACCCCTTAACAGGTCAGGAGGAACGGTACCTGACCGCCAGATGGCAGCCAGGACAGCATGTAACCCCTGTGCCATAGGTTCACCACCAGCCTTTAACAG